TTTTAACAGACCTCTGCGCGCTAACTCATGAAGTCTGTTAAGACTGGGGTGGGGGGGCAATCTTCTGGGTCTTTGTGTCATGCACTCGCACTGGCTGAGGCTGCCTGTGTTTGACCTGGGTCTGTGGGACCTGCAAAGACTAAAGGCTGGATGTGGATCAGCTGTGCTCAGACTGGTTGATGATCCAGCATCTACTCTACTGACAAACTTCAGCCCCTGTGAATTATAGATATTTTCTAAATATTAATGTTGTCAGCTGCATCAAACTGGCTCCTCCAGGTTTCCTTCAATACATCTTCAAATATAAAATACTATTTATAAAATGACTGGGCTGAATATGTGATGCTTAGTATTTACTGAGACATTCATCCACCCATCCACTAATCAGCTTTTTATTTTTCAATAGTACTAGTTAATCCACTGCTTCCCATCTTGCATTAGTCCAGAGTTGTTGTTTTAAAATGTTGTATGATTAGTGCCTTCACATCCTGTCTGGACTGCTCCCACAGATGTTTCTTGCTGGAATGCGCTCATCTTTTCCAAGCTACAGTTTATAAACACCGTGGTCCGTGTGCGTTTATCAAACGTAATAGTTAATAGTTATATTTCACTCAACATTGCTGAGCTGGTTAGCACAGGACAGACAGATTCACTGCAGCTGCATATTAATGTTAGGCTACTTGTTATCTGCTGACCTCATGCTTACCCGACGTTCACGTAGTTCACTCTCCATTGAGTTTTTTCTTTACACGGTCCAAGAAAGATGGTCCCTCTTCATCCCCTCATCATAGTTGTATTTTCACCTTTGACATGAGAGTGAGGCAAGGTCGTCTCTGGCGAGAGTGACCTGTTTTCTATCACTGCGTATGCCGGTGTCGCATCAGCTGGCTGGCGTTGATTCGTGCCGAGTCGGCTTTATCAGTTTACATTTGTTTTTCCCTGCTGCTCCACTCAGGTTCGCTGCATAGGCGACTAATAACAACGTAACGAGCTCTAATGCAGGATGTAACGCAGTAAACAGTCAGATATTTGGCTTTGAAATGTAGTGAAGTGAAAGTAAAAAGTTGCAACAACTAAACATACTCAAGTAAGTACAGATACTACTGAAGTACAGTAACGAAGTACTTATACTTCATTACTTTCCACCACTGATGCAGCTGCAGGATGACTTCTTATACACATATGTAACACTGAACGTCTCTTCTTCTGTGTCAGGAAATCCCCATGAATTTCATCGATCCCAAAGATCTGGACATCCCAAACTACGGACCCAAGAACAGATACAAGACCATACTTCCCAGTGAGTACTCTTGTTGCTAAGAAACAGTAACGGTTCAAAAACAGTCCTCATCTGCCATTTCCTGTCGAATCAGGAAGTTGTTTGATTATGTAGGAGGGGCTTAAGGTCAAAGGCCAACAACCCCAAGGACAGCTAATATCGCACCTCCCTCTTCCTTGAGCACACACACACACTTGAACAATACATTTTCCTCAGAGTACAGTTTGTTCTCACACTACCAGCCAGGCCTGATTAAGACGTTATATACACACACACACACACACACACACACACACACACACACACACACACACACACACACACACACACACACACAGTGTTAGTTATTAGTCTGTGTAGTGAAGAGAGGAAAGGGTTTTCAACACAACAGTGAAGGAAGGGGGGTGTTCCTTCCTTCATTCCTTCCTTCCGGCCAATCAAGGGTAAGGAATGCTCACCTAGTCGGCTGTCTATCAAACTCCTTCCCATGTTTGAGTTTCTGTGTTGTCTTTTCTTCAGTGTTCACAGGGCTGAGTCGAGTTTGAGCTGAAGCGTAATAGGGGCTTGAAACCAAGTCTAGACAGTCTGAAAGCAGATCAGGATGGTGCCTAGGCTTTAACAGGCACGAAACCAGGTCAAGACTTTAACTGGGACCGAGTCTAAATGGAGGTTGGCATCAATTAAAAAGCCTTAAAAGACTAAACCAGACAAAACCTGAGATGTCCACAAGAGAAATGTGTCAGAAAGTGTCATAAACTGGCTCAAGAAAAGGGTATAAGACCAAATGACTGATTTACAGGGGATGGAAATCAAGTGAGGCCAAGTCTAAAAGCAGGTCAAGACTGACCCTAAGTGAAAGACGGCATCTTTAGCAGGTCAGGGTCAAATCCAGACGGAAACTAAGACCTGGTCCAAAAAGCATATCAGGGTCAAGACAGTTTAAAAGGTACTTGAATGTTAAAAAACATGTAAAACGGGTGTAAGTCAGAACAGAGACTGATTCAGTACTTTCCGTTTTAGTTTAGAAACGGAGAATTAAAACGGATACGATCTCCGTCCACAGCAGCGTTTTAGCTGCGTATCAGAGGTGATCCCCGTCTACATTAAAACGACTTAAAACGCACATCCCGTGCCCGTTCGGGTGCGCTGGGCGTGCCAGTGTAAGCATGAAGCGGATGGTCTATTCCGTAGCTACAGAAGATTTGGCTAAAGAATAAAGAAAAACTGACCAGATTTTTCTTTGCATGCACCGATAATGAGCTGGGACTGTTACTGAATGTAACATGGGAGTGTGGCGGCGGAAAACAGACTGGGAGTCGTCGCAAAGTAAACGGCGACATGCACAGTGTAAGTGTTATTTGCACGGTACAGAATATTTTACTCAAAAACTGACCGCACTGTGTGTCTGCTTTGCATGACTTATAAGACTCAGAGAGCCGAGCGTCTGCATCATCGTTTCTAAAGTCCTCCGTTTTGGCCCTTCTTCACTAAAACGCCCTCCGGAGTTTCGAAACGCAAAATGGGGGCGGCAGCGTTTCCAAACTTTTCCGTTTTAGGTCTTTGTTTTTCGCCGTTTTAGTCTGGACGGAAGGAGCAAACGAAGCTAGAAGGTTTCAGTTTTACTTTGAAAACGCAGTAGAGTCCACAAACATAGACACAAAATCAAGACTAAGGCCAGATGGGGTCAGGAGCCAACAGAGATTATGGGGGGGAAAGGATACATACACCAATCATTTTTATATGAAACTGATGGTACGGAGAGCAGAACATTTAGATCAGATCAAACTCTCCAGTGAAATCCAAATGTAAAGGCCCGATCTAAATCTCGTCTTCTCTCTCTCCTGTTATTTCCTCCGCCGTTGCCTCCTTCCCTTCCTCTTCCCCTTGCTCACCTCCTATCTTTGCCGTGTGTCCTAGACCCTCATTCCAGAGTGATCCTGAAGTCGAAGAGCTGCAACGACCTGCTGAGCTCCTACATCAATGCTAACTACATACGGGTGGGTAGCAGCAGTAGTCCAGAATCGCCTCCTATTTTTGGCTCTGTAGCTTTTGTGGCTGCTCAAAGGAGATCAAATTATACACTTGTTAAAGGACTCATGGCAAGTTTTTACAACATTTATTTGTTAAATCTTCTCTAAACCTGAGAACAATCATCCAACACTGACATGATCACATCACTGATGTGTAATGTCTTTTGGTTTCATTGACACACACAAAGGCAGTGAAAGTACTGCAAAAAACTGCAGAAGTCTGTAATGTTGTTCTCAGACTCTATACAATAGACTCTCTTCCTGTCAGGAAACTCCACTGAAGCTATTTAAACTGTCAGACCGCATGAGAACAGAAGCTGTGTTCAGATTCTTTATCCTACTGGACATACCACGCAGTGTGTGTCCAAAGCACATTTATCACACGACAGGAAGAAGCATCACTTTGATCAAAACTCTTTTATTTCACCTAAAACGTTTTGACTGAAGCACTATAACTTTGTTTCAAAAGGTGCTATATTAATACAATTATGAATTAATATTTAGACAATATGACTGACCAAGAAATGAAATCAGCATATTTAATGCCAAATGTGTATTTTTAAATATTTGTGTCACAAAAATGTGTTTTTAATAAAAAAAGCAGAATATAAAGGCCAATTTATTTTTCTGCATCAAATCTAGGCCGCAGCCTGACGCGCACTTTCCAAAAAAATGTAAATATATGTCGCAGCAATGCAGACTTCAAGACCTGTGATTGGTCCACTTGGTAACATCGCATTTCCTCCTATGCGTTATGTTTGTTTGACTTGTGCAGTCACCGAGTCCGACACCCGCATTGCGTTTCTCTGGCTGCATAAAGTCGGAACCACCTTTTGATTGATATGCTGATGTCGCAGGATCAGTCATTGTTCTAAACTCACAAGAAGCTCGCGCAGTCTTGTGTCCGACTTGATGGGGCTGTTTTTATACTCCGCCCCTGCAGTCACTTGCAGCTCATGTTAGAGTCGGCGAAAGTCCGCCGCAGTCATCTCGAACACACATAATATCTGGCTTGTCCTCCTTCTTCTGCCCTAACCAGTTCAGGGGTCGTACGTACCGTCTCCTCCGACACTTTATCTTGTTTCTGCGTTTTAGTAATTTCACTAAAAGTAACTGCTGTTCAGCATCGATAAGCTCCAACGATCCGCTCAGTTTCAGTCGCCGTTGTTTGTAGTAGCCTACACGAACGAAGAAGAAAGTGAACACAGCGGAACATTGGAACCCCACCGCCAACTTGTGTTGTGGAGGTGTAACTGCAGGACGATGCAGACACCAACGCAAAAGTATAAATGCTCATGACGGCACGTAGTCTACGCCGTCAGGTATAGCGTAATTTATACTTCTGCGTCGAATCGACGGCGTAGGTGACGGCGTAGCCTACAGGCTACGCAGAGGCTACGCCATCGCCTGACATGCACCTCCTCAAAAATGTAACTACACGTCAAGTTGACGCGGACCGTAAGCTCTGTGATTGGTCGGCTGGGTAGCCTCGCAATGCTGCCATCTCGACCGGAAGTACCCCGTGCTTTGAAGTAACGTTTGATAGCGGCCAAAACAGCGGCTGTGACACAGTGAAACAATACTGGACGTTGCAACCCGAGCAAAATGAGAATGTGATCCACTCGGTCGACAACATTTTAAAAGGCTACACCAGCCGCACGTTTACAATTTTACTCCCATTTACGTTAGCGGAGCACTTAACCGGAAATTAGCCTGCTCGGCCGGCAAAAGTCAACACGGTGGACGCTGCAGCGCTACGTGCGTAGCCTACGGCGTAGGTACGCACGTAGGCCCTACGCAGGAGTATAAATTGGCCTTAAGGCGTAGAGTCGACACAGAAGTGTGAATTGGCCTTAAGAAGTAAAAGTTTTCCTCTGGTGCTATAATGGATCAAGTCCAAATGATATTCAACGTTTTGAGTAATATTCACAAACTCTGTTGACTGCTTGCATCACTCAAACACCACAAAGAAATAATACCACCTTACTTTGAAGTTTTCTGTGCATCTACAGGACACTTCATACATTCACCTCGAGAAGAACAGTCAATTTAAATAAATGTAAAAATACTGATTAAGGTATTTTAGTTTTCCTACTGTCAGACAAAAGTGACAAAAGGTGCCGTCATGAATTTCTTGAATTCTTCACATTAAGAAGTCTTTCAGAGCTCGTGTCAACAGTGCCGTTACTTCCTCACAGCAAGCTGCTGACGCTGTTGTGTGATTGGCTCCCCTCCCAGGGTTACCTAGGCGACGAGAAGGCGTTCATCGCCACCCAGGGTCCCATGGTGAACACGGTGAACGACTTCTGGCAGATGGCCTGGCAGGAGGAGTCCCCCGTCATCGTCATGATCACCAAACTGAAGGAGAAGAATGAGGTATCGTTTAGACGAGGAGGGGGGAGTTAAGCTAAAGTACAGTAAAAGAAGCGGGAGAGAGGTGGATGTGGAGGGCAAAGTTCAATTCTACATGTGACCTGGGACTGTTTTTAAGAAAGCTCTAACATTTAGTTGTTGGAAAGCTTTTTTTATATTGTAGTAAAGCTGAACCCAGAATACAAGCGGTAACGGATTAAGTGAGTTTGGTTGTTTGTTGTCGTGAAGACGCTGCTATTCTAAAACTACAGATGTGTGAGCGTCCGTGACCAACAGAGAAATATTTTTTAATAAGTTGGTGCCTACTCTATCTGCCAGTGTTAGAGGCAGAGGAATAATTTGGATATTTTACGTAAGTAAAAAAAAACACAACTACAGTATAAAAATCCTCTGTTACAAGTAAAAGTCCTCCATTCAAAATTTTACTTAAAGGAGACCTCTAATGCTTTTCCACATTTTATGACTTATCTACAATGTTATAATGTAGCATGTTAAACACGGCCAAAGCTTCAAAAAATGTATGTAAAAGTATTTAAAAGAAATCGCTGTGAGCAGAAACCTCAGATTTCCTCCTGTTCTGATCGCTCTGTTTTGAACTGCTTTTTCTACAAACTGCTCCGTTCTAAGACATTTGGAGCCAGACGGAGCCGCTGTTCCATATATGGTCATTTGCTCCCATAGCAACGGCCCAGCAACACTCAGTCTGCCTGTTCCGCCCAGCGACAACAACAGCCTGGTAACATGCTTCAGGTCTTGGCCAATCAGAAGACAGTGGGCTTTGAGAGGGGGGCTCTTAAAGAGACAGGAGCATCTACAGCTTGTTTCAGACTGAGGCTGAAATGAAAGCCTATATGAAAAAAAAAATGTTTTTTATAACTTTGAATCATGCAAATCTGCCATACAGAGTCACAGAACTACAATATAGGCCTGGAAAAGCAGTATAATAGGTCTCCTTCAAGTAAAAGTACAAAAGCATGATTATCAACGTGTACCAAAAGTCTGCCCATTGCAGAATCATAAATTTACAGCATAATAATTATTGATGTAGCTGCTAAAGGTGGAGCTAATTTTAACCACTAGTGGGTATCTTAATCTATAGTAAAATAGTACATTATATTTTATTAGATAATATTTTGCATAAACAATCTGAATCTATCTATCTATCTATCTATAAAGTTATCAAATAAATTTAGTGGAGTAAAAAGTACAATTTTTCGTTGTGAAATGTTCAAGTACAATGTAGAGGTTCTTATTTTAAGTACGGTGCTTGAGGAAAACATTGCAGTAATGTAACTCAAATCAAATCTCTACAAAAGTTGTTTTTCCAAAAAATAAAATAATAAAAACATGAAACCAGTAGTTGCTTGTAAATCAGTCTAAAAACTGATGGGATGATTTGGAAAGTACTCAGCAGGAATGGAAAGTACCAGCAGTGTATGAAATGTTTCCACTGTCTTTGCATTTCTCTGTAGAAGTGTGTTCTGTATTGGCCTGAAAAGAGGGGAATCTATGGGAAGGTCGAAGTGTTGGTCAACAGCGTCAGAGAGTGTGAACATTACACCGCTCGCAGCCTTACATTAAAGGTACGCAAACTTTTCAAACTTAGTTATTACTTCTGTGTTGTGATAAGTAAATAAATGCCTTTGTGGGATTCACATTTTTTTGTGTGCAGTGTGGGAATCAAACCCGCATGCTGCAGCATTACTGGTACACATCATGGCCCGACCACAAAACCCCCGACTCGGCGATGCCGCTACTGCAGCTCATGACCGACGTTGAGACGGACAGACGGACGGCTGCCGCCATGGGACCCGTTATTTTGTCCATTGCAGGTCTAAAGAGGGGGAAATGTGAAAAGGGCTTTTCTATTACTCCTGACAAATGTTTTGAAATAACTCAGTTACCCACGTTCCTCTACTTGCAGCGCCGGGATTGGCCGGACAGGATGCTTCATCGCTACAACGATAGGCTGTCGACAGCTGCAGCTGGAGGGAGTGGTGGATGTTCTGAGCATCACCTGCCGGCTCAGAGCTGACAGGTAAAACACTCTTTTTCCTTCCATTTTTACCGACTGGGAAGGAAAAAGACAGAGCCCACCTTTTCTGCGGAGTGACCGTGAATGATTTTAGCTTCACTTTCATTCAGAAAACCACGGAGAAATACATGAACATTTATTGTCGGGCTGTCCGGGTTGGAACATCGACGTCAGTCCCTGGGACCTAATGATAACCTAATGATTGCAGTGTTTCCCACACAGTCACGGCTGTTAATATAGCTGGGCGACACGCCTAAGTAAGTGTGGGGAAACACTGGAGTCCCAGCCAATCCACAGCAAGAAATGTTTTCTGACTGAATATGTGTGCATTAGCTGTACAGATGTTGCTGCTGTAGCTGCTAGCTAACAATGTAGTCATCTGTGTCTTTTTATTTTACCGCTCAGACTCACCAGTAAATCCAGTTCTTTTGGTCATTTCCCTCAGTTTGTCTTCTTTTTCTTCCCATTTTTTTTTACGCTCCCGTTGTTTTGCTCAAGTTTTAACTTGTGTGGAAGCATTTTTGCTTAGTTTCTTGCTGTTTAGAGCCATTTTGTGTTTGCACCTTATCGTGCTGACTTTGTTGTGTTGTGCTACCTCTAAAACTCACCTTGTGAAACCATCCTTAAATCTTGAAACAAATGGTTAATTTTGCTATAAACATTTTCAACAACTTAACGTAAAAGGTTTCCTGAATTTCCATTATCAAGATATAAAATATAAATAAAAAACCAAAAAAAACCCCCACATTTCAGCTCCATCAGTATGTTTACTATAGTGTTGGTTTATTTTCTTTAATCACTATAACTTATAATCTCTCTTTTGTCTGTGCAGAGGAGGGATGATCCAGACAGGTGAGCAGTACGAGTTCGTCCATCACGCCTTGAGCCTGTACGAGACCCGCCTATCTGCAGAAACAGGCCAATGAGTGTGCGCCGCCACAGGAGGTGTCGACCTAAACCTGGATGTGTTGTCATAGTGAGTCCTTTAGCAGGTATGATCCCTGAGATTTGGAAGTTCTCTTGAGATTAGAAACAACTGGAAGAGGTCTTTTTAAGTTTAATGGACAACATGGACAACCAATGAGTTGTGGGTGGAGCCTATTGAAGGAAAGAGGAAAGGTACATTTCTGGAAATGAAATATATCCGTTCTTCTCTGCTGTTTCTTCATGTGTTGTTGGTGGGGGGTTCTCCAGAAGAACTGGAAAGACCCGCCCACTTCACTTCTCTCAACCAACTGACTGCCGGATCGTGACGTTTTTAACTAACCAGATTGTCCTGTTACCTCTTTTCTGTCAAGGAGACGTAGAAATAGTTTGACTGAAATTGATGGTACTTTGTTTCATAACACTGTTGTGTTTGTGTCTTTTTAGATTTAAAAATTATTTTTTAATGTGGGGTTCTTATAAGAAAGGCAATCACAAATTGACTGTTAGCTGGTTGCATTTTCTGTTAAGCTACGATACAACTGTTGAACAAACCCTTCCAGCCTCCCTTTGTGACATCCACACTCCGTACGATACTCCGTGATTCTGCCACGTTACATTACCCACCTTCAAACTTTTTGGGGAAGTCGAACATTAATTTTGACCTTTTATCCTGAGGCGGGTTGTATCATCAAAGTTATTTCATCATCATCTCTTAATTGTTAGAACTTAATTTTAAATGTCATATGTCAGAAAACCTTCAGCTCAAGTAACCTGAAAAGTTAGCTTGACAACTAGCCAGCAGAAACATTTAGCAAACACATTTATTTTTTTATGTTTTTATGTTAACGTTACTTTCTGTTTAACCAGACAGTGTTGAGTAGGTGAGTCAATGCTATGGTTAGCAAGCTAACTAACTGACATTATCTTAAAACCCATTTCATTTGTAACCAAGACTAATAAAGTACAACTTTTGTGATGCGAATGATTAAACCAACTTTATAATCTTTATTTTCCCTGTCGTCACTGCTCTGCGCATTTCCACTGGACGTATGTTTTGCAGCTTTGAAACTTACAGAGTGCTGAAGTCACAAACGGGGCTAACTCCAGCCATAGATCACACGCTAAAGGCTAACAAACCAATGTAATGATAAATAAGCTCCTGCTAAGCTAGCACTAGTAGTACAGCAATCTCATAGAGGCTAATTCTAGCTTTTGTAGTTCGGTGTTAATCCGTATGCTTTAACGTCATTAATGGATGCTAACCTATAAGCTCATGCTATTATTAGCCCGCTATGCTTATGCAATATTTTGTTAAACCAATTAATCTTATATTCCGCAGCTAAACCATGCTCGTAAAATATTATAACAATTTGTAATACTATTTCACAAATTCAGCTTCGCCGAGGTTTTGACTGAGTAAGAATTATGGGAGCTGTTTACAAATGCTGACCTACTAATTGTTGTTTTATCTAAAATAGATAAATAGATAAATTGATGGTAGCAATAGAGACCTAGTTATCCTAGAATATATGGACACAACACCCCACCATCATGTTAAAACATTTAGAAAGACCCAAGGAATAAAATGTACAAAACATTTAAAAATGGCATAATTTATAGATTTGATCCACAATTAAAATGAAAACTGACATTTTAGCCAAAGTTTAGTTTTTCAGCACAGGGCCAAATTGAAAAACATAGTTTGCTGAGACTTATTCATCACACGACAGATTTACACTTAAACTCTTTATAGTAGTTAACCCTGTTTATTGAATTGACAATTCCCATGTTGTGTAATATGTTGCTTTATACCAAAAATGTGAAATAATTGTCACAATGGTGCAGTCATCTCATCAGTGTGCTGTTGTAAATCTAGTAAGTGCGTTATTTTTAGTGTATCAAAATAATACCTTTATTTTTATACTGTTTTTTTTTTACATGTTTTTGATGAGTTTAGCAGCTATTATCCATTTGTCACCTCGCATGAAAGCTCACGATGTGAGGTACGAACCTCAAATCTCTAAATCTTGAATTTAACAGAAGCAGATGAAAAAAACAATACAAATTTTATCCGAATCAGCAAATCGAATTTTGAACAAGCCACACCCGTTGTTTAAGCTTTACTATCTTAATGATGGAGGAATACGTTTTAAGCAGTAGAAGAATAAACATGAAATACTGAGAGATAAAGTTGTTGTGAACAATACGGATTGATTTTGTATTTCTTTAGATAAGTTTTATAATTACATTGACACTGCATTGAAAAATGTCAAAATAGTAATGAGACTACACAACTCAACCAAACCATTCGAGTGCCATTACATTGGAAAAATAAAGTCAAGAAAAGGGTGTGATGCTCAGTTTTTATACGCCCAATATTACTACATGTTTAACCATAAAAGGCTAAGAAATGAAATAAATACTGAGGTGGTTTTATTAGTTCCTGAGGTGTTGATTTGTTTTAGAGATCTGGGGTTTCTACAGTAATGCCAGTAACGAAGAACATAAACAAATACATCTAATCCACTGTCTGTGTGAATGGGATAATGTTGTGTGGTACATGTTAAAGTGCTATTAAACCTAATGTAAGAAGTCGAGTTTCAATCCATGGGCTACAAACATGGAGGTGTTGCTGCTAAAACTGGGAGCGTTGGGACCGGACCGCTGACGGACAATAAACGAGAGAATCTTGGAGGACTCTTTCTTTTTATGTACCAAATATTTTTTTATTTATTCCTTTTATTTGTTATACAATCAAGGGACTTTGGACCTGCGTCTCTTCGTGCCCAACATGCCTCGTGGGACCACCGTCAAAACAATTTTGACTTCGGCCAGTTCAAGAATTGGATTGACTTCAAACTCCAAAGTGGTTAAAAATCTGAAATATTACATTGTGATATTGACGTAACTCTCTGTTTGAACTGATGATGGGATCAATTCACTTTCACTACAGAAAGTGAATTGATCCCAACCTCCACACCCACTGCAGCAGCGGGTGCAACAACACACACTGCCTCTGACGTAGTATTGTGTATGTACAGTAGGTGGTGGTTCATGTCCTGTACTCTGTTGTTGTTGACTGTTGATGGAGCTTAAAGGGACACTACACATTTTCAGTTTTAGACAGTTGTCATGCTGTTGTAGAGAACAAAATATTCTTTATATGCATTCATTGGTTACCAATGTAGGAGTTTAACATTGTGTGTAAGGCTTTATTTTAGAGCTCACATAGTTTTCGCAAATTTTAAATAGAGAAATGAAATGCATCATAGGATGTTTCTTGGAAAGGATTCGGAAATGTGCAACTAAAAATAGGGAATTGGACACAGTACACTTGAATTAATAATAACCAATCAGTTGTTAATTAGTTGTAATTAGAGAATTCTTCAACAGGCAGACAATTATACAATTCAACATATATAGAGTAATAAATACTTACATTTTTTGTGGGTTTAATAGAGAGCCTAAGTCTCTCGCTTCACTTTCGCCCAATGGGACCTTATTTCCGAACAAATACACTGAACAAACACTGAGACCCTGGTTCAATTCCCCACTGTGACACGTCCACCAATGTGTCCCTGAGCAAGACACATTACCCCTAGTTGTTAAAATGTAAGTCGTTTTGGATAAAAACGTCAGCTAAATGAATAAAATTTAAATGTAATGTCACAGTTAAGTTGCACTTTACTCGATTTTAAAACACAGCCTAAACCAATAAACTGAAATTTGTAAATATTTATTAAAATAAAATGCCCTGGAGAACTGAAAAAGCTGTTTACCTTACAAACACCCATATCAATAAGAGCAGAGCAATTAATAACAACATTAGCTAGTTAAACTGCCAATTTAAGATCATGCAAACGATAGTTGGTTAGTTTACTACTACTATAACAAGTGAGGGGGAAAAAAAGCTCATGTAAATAAATTGTCCTTCTGCTAACATTAACTAGTACAAGGACCAACTTTGGCTCATGTAAAAGTTCTTTTACCAACATTAGCCAATGAAGTCTGAAAGTTCTCAGTCATCCAGGTCAGAGTTGTCCAAAGAAGGTTAAAGATACCAGAAGACATTTCATCTCTCATCCGAGAGACTTATTCGAATCTGAAATGACTGGTAGGGAAACTCAGCTATTTAACCTCAGTGGGGTCGTTTGCCAGGATCATCGATACCGCTGGTTCGTTAGTGCTCCTGGCTGTGGTAAAGACAGTCGCTATGGTCGTTAGAACCACCCGTGGCCAAGTCTGAACGACCATCGTTGGCATCTTCACCTGAGGCCAAGAGGTATTTCTTGTTGAGTTTCCTGGGAACTTATCCTCCACTAACAATGCTGCCCTTTCATCACTTCCCAGGAAACGTAACAAACGTAACCTCTGGTCGTTCAGACTTGGTTCTAACGGCATTACCACAGCCAGGAGCGCTAACGAACCAGTGGTATCGATCCCCACAGAGTTTAAATAGCTGAGTTTCTCTACTAGTCATTTCAGAACTGAAGAAGTCTCTTGGTTGAAGATACTAGAAGACGTTTCGTCCCTCACCCAAGTCCAGTTGCTGTCGACTTTAACCTTCTTTGGATTAGCTAATGAAATGACCAACTTTGGCTAATAAAGTTCTTTTGCTAATAATAGCTGATGAAATGACCATTTTCAGCTTGTGTAAAAGTTCTAGTGCAAACCAGAGGTTTATTTTCAAACTAATCCTCCACACCACATTTTTCTTCTGCTAGTTAACTACGAAGACAATCAGCTGATTTAAGTTAGCTTGCTAATGATAGCTGTTTGTTACAAAACCAGGTGGTGGTACAATCATTTAAAAAAAGCTTTTTTGTTGCATGTTTATTTCTCCTGCACATAATGATGAATACATAAAAAAATATTTTATTTAGATTGACCATTTCTGCTGTACATGCATGTGCTGTAGGAGGAGTCAAATGTGACAGAAGGTCCTGATCTGAAAGGGAGGGGTGACGGCTTGTTTCCAAGTTAGTACTCTTTAGGGTTGAAAAACTAGAACTTTATTTCAAACTTAAAAAATAAACAAAATATGGCAGTAAACCTTCAATAAATATAACCATTAGCTCACTGACTAGCGAGCAGATTCATTTAGCAAGCACATTTATGTCAATGCTAACAATATCTTAAAATTCAACAATCTTGATCTGAACACACATCAGTTCTAATAATTAGTGTGAGTTTCAGCACGGCAACAATATGAACAAGAATTTTTAGGACAGATTCCATGTAGAGCCACATTAAAATAAAATAAAAATGTTAGTGTCCCTTTAAACTCCTGCTGTGTGGGCAATTCAGCTCGGTCAGCGTACACCTAATGCTAATAAGTGTACGTACGGTACGTGGTTTTTAACTGTATTACTAATCAAATTGAATGTTGTAATAGTCGGGAACATTAGCCACTGAGTAGTGCTGTAACCTCTTTATCTACTCTACTATATATACATATATATTGTTACCTGTAATCTGTATATAAACACTGGATAAACAATTAATGTTGTCCTGGACTCTGACTGACTGATAACCTTCAGACCAATGTTGCCGGGTGCAAAAAACAAAGAACTGTACTTATTGAGTTATTGTATGATTTGATTTAGAAAAAACTGGAACTTTCAGGTTTTGAAAGTTTACCAGAGCTTACAGATTGCAGATAGATGCTGTATGAAAAAACAGGTTGTGAGTGGCAGCACTGGCTATCGTAGATCCAGGATCAGTTTACCACATACTATGTTGTTATGACATTTTGAAGTTATTGTAAATTTGTGGATATTATTGATTGAACATTGTACCGTGCATTTGTGTGACTTGCCATTTGAATATCGCAAACTGGTGACACTGCTTCAGACTGAAGTTAGGACTAGGGAAGAAAAATGTTTCCTGTTTGTTAGATGGGTAAACACAGTTCAGCCGACCCAGAGCTTTGATCCTCAGCTGGGATCCAGGATCGAGCACAGGATGACTTAACAGGTCATGTTCACTTTTATGGATGTTTGTGGATTATTTTGAAGATTTGTTCAGATTCTTGACAGTGAAGTTACTTCATGGAGGGCAAGGCAAGTTTATTTGTATAGCACAGTTCAACAAGGAAATTCAAAGTGATTTACATAAAAGCAACATGGTGCAATAAAAAGACATTTAAATAAAATAAAAAACGAGTAACAAAAAAAAAAAGGTAAAACGCGGCAGTAAAAGTTATAGAGCAGTGTAAGATACCAATCAGAAGGCTTAAAATACATTTTTATGTTAAAAAAAGCAGTTAACAGATCTGCAGTTTTCTGGGAGTTTCTTCCAGATAAATGAAGCATAAAAACTAAACACTGCTTCTCCTGGGTTAGATTTGACTGTGGGGACAGAAAGCAGAGAGTCTGGATGGTTTATAACATAACAGAAGTTCAGAACTAACCAACAGCTGTATTGTAAAATCAGTTACTCGACAGACAAGAAGCCAGTGTAAAGACCTCAGAACTGGAGTGATGCGATCCACTTTGTTGGTCTTAGTGAGGTCTCGAGCAGCAGCAACAGCGTCCTGAATAAGCTGCAGCTGTCTGATTTGAAATTTTTTAGGGAGACCTGTAAAGACACAGTTACAGTTTGGTGTGTATGGATCTTAAACTGGTGTTCCTAGAAACATGCTGTCATTTAACAAGAGAGAGTGAGACAAAGAGAGAGGGGAAGGGAGCAGGAAGGAAGGAAAGAGGTGTGGATGACTAAAAGTAGCTCCAGCCAACTGAAACAAAGCATTTGGTATTTTAACTTGTAATGCTGCATAATCAACTCAAATGTAAACTATGTGAATTGTGAGGCAACAGATGTACCAATGCAAGACTTATTATGGCGATGAGAAATTAACTTTATCTCCAAACACAAGATAAATTGTAAGAAGCTACAAATGTTACGCATCATTAATTAATAAGAATGTGCACGATTAATTTAACGTATTTTTTTAACAAAACATGTTTTGAATGTGGGGTTTGATTGTCTGTCTGATGAGCAGTATCACCAAAGAAAGTTTATCTTGAACATTTCTTAGATAAATAGCGTTGTAATTTCAACTGAAGTGTTTAATTAGAAATAACAACGACTGCTCTGGGCTTCTGTCTTCTAAGACTTGAGGAAGTGTTAGTGTTATTGTAAAACTTGATTCTTAAATCTGTAAATCAGCTGTATTAGTACTGAGCTCCTCTCATGATTGGAAACCAAAACCAGCAGCAGGAAACAAAGAGATAAATAAGTTTAAATTACAAACTAATACTTTTATATACAGTAATGATGAAACAAATCGAGACGAAATTAATGATTTTGATGTTTTTCTGTGTTTTTTATCATTGTATTTGACATGAAAATGTAATTAAAATTTCGGCTTGGGATTTTTAGATTGTTTTGGGGAAATTAAGATGGTCATTTATTATAGACTAATTAAAAAAAAACAATTATAAAGATAATAGACGAACTGATTCTTAAGATAAACATTACTGTAGGCCTAATTTGATATCTTAAAAAAATGAAATTACCACCTTGTCAGAATAAGTCTTAAAATGTATTTATGCACCAATGAAGCCAAAGTTAACTTAAGAAATGTTAATTACTGAGTGATCAATGGAAGGCTTCTCATCTTGTTAACATAATAAGATATTTAACTCATGGAATGATATAAAATGCTGATAGAACAAACAAACTGCTAACTTAGAACAACCGTTCTTAAAATAAACATGCACCACATAATAGGAACCTTTTTTTTTTTATAGCTCCATAATTTTCAAACAATTTCCTAATAATAAATAACAAAATTTAAATAAAAAGATTAATTTTAGGAGAAGCAGTAAGGAACTATGTGTTAACCAACAACTACTTAAGCTTAGTCCTAGTAGTATAGCTAGCGTGTGTTAGCCCTTGTTCTTGTAAGGTAGCGTACAGTTAGCTGTCAGATTCTGCCCTTGGAGTCTACGCGTGTAGGTACAGAAACCCAAACTATGAAGTTAGAAGTGGCTAAAGTTGTTGAACGGCTGCATTTTGGTGTTGATTCTCAGTTGGATTGACAGTACTAGCACCAGTTTCACATCAGAGTCATTTGGTTCGATAATATATAAATATACATACTGTTATACTGCTATAAAGTTTCAAGCAGGTGCACTGCTAATTACCAACGTTTATTAATTATCAGCTGCTCCAGAACCATAACTGCAAATCCGAAACAAAATGACGGATTTAATGTGGGAAACTAAATTTACACCCACTCAGATGAATACACACAAAATGCTGTCATGAAAGAAAGAGATGGAGCAAACTTTGGTCTCAGTGGGAATTAATCAAACACTCGTCTCTATTTATAACATCTACCTCTGCTGTTAGTGCAGCTAGGTGTGCTGCCATTGTGGTTACAGGCCTATTTATATCCTCCATCCAGGCAGGGTTTGTAGACGTGCCTTTGCAGTGACTCACAGAGCTGTTGGCTTGATTGAGGAAGCCTGTTAGTGACTCCCGACCTCTACACTATAGAGTCTGACCGACAGACAGACAGGAAGAAAGACAGACAGCTGGTGAGACGGGGAGTCCAGAGAAAAGAGAGGAAAGACTGTGTCTGAAGTCTGAGTTGAGGATGGACACGAGGCAGAGAAGAGCCAACGGACAAAAGAGATGAAATTTCTAGGACAAACGACCTAATTAATGTTTTTCGTCAAATTGAGGTATTTTGTTTTTCTAAGAGAGAAAAAGGACATTTAGCTAGTTGTTTTCCAGCTGTTTTGTTTGCAGAAGGACTCGTTCTCCGCTGAAGACCTCAAAGACAAAAGAGGGATATTTTCATCATTATTAAGTGAATATAAACATACATCTTTTACCTCAGCCTCAGGAGTATGGTGGTGCGTGGTGTGTCTCAGGATTTGAAGGACGATCAAAATGCTGAAATGTAAAGTTCACAGCTATCTATGCCGCCTGTGGTTCACGGCGCTGCTGCTGCTGCTCCGGGTGAGTCTGCTCACATTTCTTTACTTCATACCTTTTATGATCTATGTAGGAAATCAACTGACAAAGGAGTTTCAAATGCAATATCAAGCTTATAATGTCAAGTTTTGTGCAACAAATAGTGAAAAAATATGTTAAGTGCTTATAAGATTGAAACAGACACTTTTCACTTTAGTTGAGCTTCATATCAAAAATAAAAGGCAATTTTTCATTTTTTTTTTTTTTTGACAATGAAGAACTGACTTCAGTATATAAAAATGTTTCTTGCATTTTTTTCATTATACCCAGAAAAGTATATCTATCTAAACAAAGCCACGGCTTAAATGATTCAACCAGTTCATCATTTTACTACTAAAGTTAAATATTAATTCACATTCTCATGCAGTTTTACCATATAATATGGACAATATGGAAGCAATACTATATTTTCATGCCTAGGAATTCAGGTGAAACTGAAAAACAAACGGAAAATAAATATTTGTCTCTTTTCTCATTAAATCAAGAAATTAGTCCTTCTAACAGCATCTAATAAGAATGAAAAATGTGATATATGAACTTGAGAGCAGCTTTGCTACCACTGTGCTGAAGATATGATACAGCATGCGTGAGTATTTGAAAGGTAATCCTATCCTTACTTTCAGGGCTTAAAAAGTTTTTCTCTTGTGAAGCAGTACATATGGGAACAGGGTAGTAATCTGTAAGTCATCAGGGATTTTCTCCACTGTCTTTTCTTGTGTGTCATTCTAGTCATGGTTTGTTTTACTGCCATATTTTCAGCCATGATCTTCTCTTTTTTTAACAAAGGGTGAAAAGGTTGTCTCAAAAATCCTTGTTACAACATTTTTTGGGAAAATATTTGCTTTTATTGGATAGCTGATTGCACAGAGGCAGACATATGGGGAAATGGTGTCCTCTGCTAGAAGTGAACGAGCGAGGCATTTTGAAACAAGTGATGGCAGGGGTGGTGATGGAGCAGTGGATAAGACACATGCCTTTGGTGTGAGTCCCCACTGCGACACATCCACCACTGTGTCCCTGAGCAAGATACTTACTAACCCCTAGTTGTAGTCCAGAGGCGTGCGACCTCTGATATATATAGCAATTGTAAGTCGCTTTGGATAAAAGCTAGATGAATAAATAAAGTAATAGGACTGCCAATCCAACTGAGAATCAACATCAAGCTGCAGCCCAAACAACCCTGCTTATGCTCCAAGGTCAGAAGCTACCAAGAGCTAATTGAACACCAACCTACAAGAACAAGAGCTCACACAAGCTCAATGTGCACTAACTGCAACACAGAAGAGAACACAAGATACCTGGACACGACTTCCCAAAAATATCAGTTTCTTTTTTCAATTTTCCTCAGTCGTCATTTCCCGGTCTTCCCGTATGTCTCTGTCTTCCCTGCGGTACCGTTTGTCTCTGAACTCGCTGAACCTCATTATCAGAAACAAATTATTTAATTTACTGTACTGCTTTCCGGTTTAAAATATTACTGGTTGAACTCGAGGTTGAACCCAAAAGTGATAAAAACACGTGCAGTTACAGTTTACACTTTAAATAGCTAAAGCCGATTAATTACAACTGTCCATTTGACAGCGTCTTGGCAGCAACACGAAAGCTCCATTGTTTTTGATTTAACATAATTTTAACTGAACAATATGAAGATTTTATTGTAGTAGATTAAAATAATTTGAGTTCTGTGTTCCCCAACATTGAACATTTGTAGTGTTTCCAGACGAAACAGTTTACAGCTCCTCTAGTGAGCACGGATCAAAATATGCTTACACTAATGGAGGGAAAAGGAGCTGCTGAATATCAACTCATCAGCCAGAGTCCCTTTGTAATAAGAAAAACAAACAAACACAAAGATCTGTAAAGTCTGACTGGTGATCTACTGGACATTTTAAAGAAATAATTTAACATTTTGGGACAAACACTTTTCTTTCTGAGTCACAGAGCTGGCAGTCAGGACATAGTTAGCCTAGCTTAGCATAACGTATCCATCCGCCCAGAACTTCTCAGCAGTGTCTCGGGCTATGGTGGTTGGTGAGCACAGGTTTTACTGTGTTGTTGCTGTTTGTCTGCCATATATTAACAGTTAAAGTCAGCCTGGTTCAGATCTCAGTAGTGAGTGAAATATTATCAGAACAATAGGATCAAAGAAATACTACTACACACTATAAAACACTTCTGGCTATAAAGGCTAGTTGTTTCCTACTTCATGGAGAGCAGCAAAATATCTATAGAAACCTCTCAAACCACTCCTGCATAACCCACATCTCCAACTTCCATCTCAGTCTTCACACATGACCCTAGCCCCATGGATTATCATAACATTTGAATCTAAGAGCGAAGCACCAAGATCCTCAAAGACTAAATGGATGAAAAGATATTTAATCTTCTGCACCATAAATAAGATTTCAACATGTTTGCCAAGTTATTCCTGTCCAGTTAACTAGAAAGTACTCAGATCATTAATTCAGAGTTTTATTGTCAGTTATATGTATCTATGTTCAATTCACTAACTATAAATTTATGTTTTTGCATTTATATTTGACTTGTTTTATACAAAACAAGCAAGGAGATCATGTCCATATACCTTAATAGGGAATACAGTCACAACTTGAGAAACGGGTTAAAAACCTTTTTTTTTGTGCAGTGGATGGAATACTTTTCTACATCTTTTAGGATTCTGGATTAATTAAACTTTTGTAAACGGATGCTCAGCTCTGTGACTTAAATGTACTGGGGCGGGCCCGATCTTATCAAGCTGGCAATTAGCTAATTAGCAGAAGGCGGTGACTTTTTAATAAACTCACTGCTCAGAAATGGAACAAATTCGAACTAACATGAATCTAAAGTGACCTGAAAGAGCTGAAAGATGGAAATCTTTGCGTCTTGTTTCCCCCGTCAGGATCTGAGCCGTGCGGCTCCCACAGAGGGCCAGTCCATCCCATGTAGCATCTCCGTGTCTGAACCAGTATCCGGCCTGGACTCCATATCACTGACAGTCAACACAACCGGACAGAACTGCTCCTTCACCGTAACGTCTCCAGACGCCGGAGGAGACAGCGGCGAGTGTAGAAGAAGAGACGAGGAGATACAGACTAATGAGATCAGAGGAGCGAAGGAGGTGAAAGAGGTGGAGATGGGAGCTAACTATCTGGAAACCAACCAGCTAGGAGTCGAGGATGGAGGGAACAAGGAGGTAGGAGATGTTTTCACCTGCGTGCTGGATCACCTGGAGCCTGGAACCGCCTACCAGCTGCTGGTTCAGTCCCGGAGAGACGAGGAGACGGCGAACCTCACCCTGCACACCAGTGAGTCCTCATACTACACAAAACTCAGTCCATTTCTTTGCTTGCTCCGGAGCTTTCATCAGTGTCACACAGTCGTCCTCCACAGAGGGTGTTTGCTCAGTTAAAAGTCAATACATTTTTATTAGTATTTAATCATTTTTTGTGCTTAAAGTGTAAAGTAATTAAAAGAATTAACTTTGAAGCTCATTCCGCTGCATGCGATCATGTTGTCTTATTTTCTGTGCCAGGTAAAAGTACATTTAGTCTGTAAACAGATGATGGAAAGGAAGTGAGTGAGAGTTAAAATTTAAAAACACATGCACCTCTTTGGATCATCCACTGTGTTACATTTTATTTAAGTGTCCCGCCCCCCTCCCGTGTGCATCCTGACAGATATCCATCTTTTATGAATAGATTTCTGAACAAATGTTTAATACATTAAAATCTGATCTGATCTCAATAGACCTTTTGCACAGGTGTAACCAATAACATTATTGATGGCTCTGTTCCAGTCAGTGAGCCAGCACTCCCAGTAGCAGCAAATGGAATTCAGCCATTACTAATGTTTTTAGTTACACCTGTGTCACACTGAAAAGGTCTGTTGGATGTCCTGCAGTTGATTGTTGTAAAGTTACACATTTTACGCAGCTGACACTGCTCATTTATTTCTTCTTACTTTTACCCCCGTTTCTTTCTAGCTTTTTAGCTAGAGTTGAGATGAAACCGGTGATCAGTGGATGGAAACCTGGATTTATAGTATCAAATATTTATTTTATACTTTTTTAAACAAATGTCACGTGTGCAGTGTCTGCTTAATGTAGAAAAGGTACCAGCTCGTTCCCTTATCCCTCCCCAAAACCTGCTCTAACAGAGTTTACTTCAAATCACTTTGGTCCAGGATGTAAGAGCAAGAAGTGAAACATAACACACCAGTATCACATCCGGACTTTACACTCACTTGCATCATACAATCCACGATACATTTACATTACATTCACACAAGTATCCGTGACCCTGCCCCTGTCGATCATTGATTACAAGATGAGTAGAACCTGAGTGAAATGAAACCTCAGAATTATTATATTCAATTGCACTTGAGCACATAAAGCAGAAAACAGTATGACAGACAATAAAAGTACAACCGCCACAATTCTGTATTAAAAAAAGAAATACTCATATAAGATCTGGTTGATTAAAAAACATTAGTGCAAGCGATCAAACAATATTAAACTATGCTTAAAAATAAATAAATAAAGTGCCGGAAGTGCTTCAAGCCGTCTTGTTCCGAGCAGATTGTTTATTTAGGAGCACTATGGAAGTTGGGATGAAGGACAGCTTATAGCGGTTACCTTTACATCTGCTAGCTCTAAGGCGTTTCCCTGAAGGTGATATAGATGGAGGGACAGAGGAGAGTGCATGTTTCGAGGTTTAAACAGGACGTGTCGTCCATCAGAGTGTGGGTGGGCGGAGCGGCGTCCTTCCATCTAGGCAGTATCGCACACCTGGCCAGGAGAGAAACAAAGGACAGAGTGCGACATTTGGATGGAGTCAGGCGAGCATCATTCTCTCTAGTAGTGCCACAGAGGCGTCTGAAAAACCTCCCTATAGTTTGGATTTTTTGGAGTTGTATGAATTACTTATCACTAGAGAATAGACAGTATCTCACAAAAGTAAGTACACCCCTAAGTGAAAATGTTCATTGTGCCATTTTTACAGGTGTTATGCTTTTAAACGCTATACAATTCTTTGTGGGGGTCATCAGTAGTGATAAATGATTAGTATTTCTTTTTATGAAGGTTAACAATCGTTAATATATTATTACATTTAGTAAAAGTACCATTCCTGGAATTGCAGCAAAAACATGTGGCGTTAACCACGTTTAAACGATGTGAACAGCAAAGTGTCTGAAAAGGACCTTAGGAGGTGGACGCATAATTCGGCAAAGATTTTGTAGGCTACTTGCTGAGATTTGCATCTCCCAGAGGAAAGCAGTATTTTACGGTCAAGGTGAAGCTGATTTTACCAATTTTTACATGCTGTTGGGTTCAGTCAAACTTTATTTGAATGGCATCTTTGGTACAGGTTAGTTAAGTATAAAGTGCTTTACAGACAAGCTGGTTTTAAAAGTAAGAAGCATCAGATATAATGGAGAAACATTTTACTGCAACATGAGTACTTTTATTTTCTTACTAAGTACATGTTTGTGATAAAACTTACATATTGTAAGTTTTGGTTGCAGGCCTGTGAGTGTTTTCACACTGTTGTATTAGCACTTAAAGGGTCTGAATTCTTCTTCCACTGCTGATGTATAAAAATAGACTTGATCACTGAGCTGGGACGGCTGCACACACCTGTACCTGTAACAACCTGCAGTGTTAGAAGTTAAACACCCCGTTCACAGTTATTTAACAAACACTCTATTGTGTTCCGTCCTATTGTTTCCATCTCCTCTGACCTCTCGCCGTTTGAAGTAAAAGAACACAACCTCCTTGTTGTGTAGAGTCTTGAGTTAATGTCATGTAGCTTCCCTCTCTGCAGCTCTGTGATTAGCCACAGGAACCTCGGCCCTGCTGAGAGAGAGTGATAGAGCAGTAAAAGTGTGTGTGTGTGTTGTGTCTCCGTGATGGCGGGCGTCCAGAACAGAAGTTGGGCCCTCAGTGTGTATTTCCATCGTGGGCAGAGCTCAGAGTTCAGCCATTTCCTGCCTCCATTGTTTCTTTGTTCTGGGGGAAGCATTGGGAAAGGGTGTGTGTGTGTGTGTGTGTGTGTGTGTGTGGAGGAAACAGGGTGTAGCTGCACCCAGTCGAGTACCGACAGTAACCTTCTCAGCAATGCAAAACACTTGTTCTGTGGTTTCTAATCTTTCGAGGCGCTGTGACTGTGACCTTTAGTGTTCATGTGACCCCTGCAGGTCAGTTTTTACCTGCTTACCTTTCACTTACTTACAGCTTTAGTTAACCGTAAAACTTCAATTAATAGCAGAGTCCCAAACAGCCGCCTACCCCGTTCACTGGCCTGGTGTGGGAACACATTTTGACAGATTAACGCAGGTCTTAAACGCCTGGTCTGGTTTTTATAAAAGTTCTCTGGATGTATAAAACCTCTTAAGGTGTGTTCACATACAACGCTTTCCTCGCGTGCGTTGTATCGCTGGACAACTGCGAAGTGTTCACACACGAGGCGATAATGCGAATAAACACAACCCGTGGATATTACAGCTGTATGAACCTAAAGTAAACATTTTGCTGTGATTTAATGGCAATAAACGGATCAAACTGATGCCGAAACAACTACAATATGATGCAGATTTGTTAGACATCTGAATTCATGCTTTCTCTGGTCTGTCAACAAGTAAGCAGGACAACAACTTTTAAAATGTTTGTTTTCTGAGTGGAGTTTGGATCGATCAGGGCTATGCTAACTTAGTCACAGTAAAGTACAACGACAGCTGGAATAAAGTTACAGACACATGTTTTCTGAACTCACCAGGTAGTTCAACCTCCTCGCTTTCTTTTCTCCAAGTAATGTCCAGTTTTGTCCGGTTTTTATATAAATATGAAATCGTAGTCCAGCAGAGCTCTGCGTGCCAACCGAGGCTAACAACAACAGTGGAACCGGATGTGCAAGGAAGCTGCTGAGAAGCTCCGGTGAAGATAAATCAACTTTGTTAATCCCAAAAACTAAAGTAAAAAGCTAATTTAATAACAGCAGTTTACTGAGCTCCTCCCGCGGGTAAACGGCGTAGTTGTCCGAGCATAATTCAGTCCGACTACGGATGTTTATTTGTCCAAAAGCTGCAGTGCGGCTCCCGGCTCTTTCTTTTACACTTCCCTGGACTTAAACAGCTCTGCGTCGGCCAGCTCTGCCTGGTCTTTCACAACATGGTGTCAAGCAAATTTCTGAACTTGAGCAAATGTCACAACAAACGCGTCTTCCGCACCGCCTGGAGCGAATTTGCATGAATTCGCATGTTTGCATTGACTTTGTGTGTGAACACAGCTTTAAACCCTGTCGGGTCGCTCGCTTTGGCTGCTTAGATCGTGAATACAAATATAAATGTTTAAACTTGTCAGTACAAACAGGCTACACATCGTTAAATCGGTTAGATTCTCCACAATTTAATTGTTCAGCTCACTTTATGGAAAGAACGAGCCCCAAAGTCTAATTCACTCAGATTATACCGGCGTAGACCTTTTTTTTTTTTTTTTTTGAAGCGGTCGTAAAGTCCAAATGTGTCCGTTCCTCGATTGTTTATCTTCCTTTAGTCTGCAAGGCTCCACCGATCAAAAGAATCAAAACAGCTTTTCATAAAAAATTATCCAAGTTGTGAAGTTTCTCTCCAACTGATAACTTCTGCAGCACTTTTCTCTGCTTCCTGCTCAGTGTTGTTGGGTACGCTTGTTTTCATTACATTGCTGCATACAAAATGAAAAAAATGGTATTAAAGTAAAATTTATACTGGTGGAAAAAGCTATTAAAGTTTTACGGTAATGACTACACAGATTTTTACACAAAGCCATTAAACTACGCAACAGTTTGTATAAATTCAAAATCTATAATTATCAGGATAAATATCAATTAATTAAATCTTTGAAGTTTAAAGGCTGATTTTTGTTGAAGTTAAAGAAACCAGATGGTTAAACTTTTCTTTCTGGTCAGAACAAACACTTGATGCTGTTGTTATTGACCAAAATTATATTGTGATAATTGTTTTATTGTGCTGCCCTATTCTGATGGTTTCAGCTTCTCTCATGTGAACAGTTGCTGCTTTTCTTCTGAGTGATTGTAATAACTGTAATGTTTGTTAAAAGAACGTTGTGGTTTTGACACAACGAGCGTTGTGAAGGAGTCACTTTGGGCTCTGGCTAACTGTGACTGCAGAATCTTTACAAACCAAACAATCGATTTTATGGAGGAAATAATCAGCAATGAAAAGAATCATCAGCTGCAGTCTGAAACTGAACAGTTCAGAATGAGCTGCAGCTCAACGACTACAGCAGCAACATCCTGCTACACATTAATGATGAAGATACAACAGGGACATTTTACTACATTTTCCTGATTATACTCTCACACATTTAGTTAAGTACAGTTTCCAAAGCAGGACCTACAGTGTGGTATTAGTTCAAGGATCTGAGCACTTCCTCCAGCTCTGCTCATTTCCCTGAAAACACCGCGAGTGATGAAGGAGCCGCTGATGGAGACAGAAACATCAACAGTCGGACTGAGAGGTGGCTGCAGAGGAGAGACTTCTGTTTGTCTCGCTGTGGCATTTGGCGGCAGAGATGTCGCGGCCTGATAACATCGTTCAACCTCGGCGCACACAGAGGCATTGTGGGAAAAACACAAACCAGGAAGCCGGGAGCGCTCAGGCAGGCGGATGGCTTGAAGAGAAGCATGGGAGTGTTTTTATAGTATATGTGTGTCAACAGGACTCCCACAGCGCTCAGACTTTGATGACAAGGCCACAGATTGAGGCGATGGATCCTTCCTGCCGAAACCTTCCTCACGCTCACAACAGATAAATCACGTTGAAGTCCCACTGCTTTAGGATGCAGTTTGTAGATTTTCCTGTCTTTGCGCTAAGCTAGGCTCACACAGAGATGAAACTGGGCTGGTTGGGGGGGTTCATGGGGGCATCACAACCAAAAGAGAGGTTGAATGTCGGGATTGTGAACATAATATAATAATATATTTATATTAGTTGCACTAGTAATGGGAGCACATTACTTGGAGATTAAGCAGTTTAAGGTCTTCTTACACACGGAGAACGTAACACATGTCTATCAAAGTGATGATTCCTTGTCATTTTTGAGCGCTGGACAAAGTACTAAACACTTAAGTAAAACTAGCAATACTACTGTGTAGAAATACTCTGTTACATGTAAAAGACCTGCACAAATAAATCTTAGAACAAATTAAAAGTACTCATTAAGCAGAATGACCCATTTCAGAATAACATACATGATATAATTGCATTACAATTATTCATGCATCCATTTCTTCATCACTGTATTGTTGTTGCAGCTTAATTAATTAATCGCAATAATGTATTCTAATTTATTTGTTAATATTTTGTATTATTCATATCAGTCCGCAAAGTAACTAGTAATTAAAATTTTCCTCAGAAGTGTAAAGTAAGAGAATAAAGTAGCAGAAACTGAAGATGCTCCAGTAAAGTACCTCAAAATTATCAGTGATGGATTTTCTCACCGTGTCCGTTTGCCTCTTCAGGGCCGTCAGCGGTGAGCGGCCTGGCGGTGACCTCCAGGACCTCCAGCAGCCTGGGCCTTTCCTGGCAGGCCGGCCCAGGCAGGACGCAGCGCTTCAGGCTGCAACTGTGGGATCACACGGGTACGTCTGTCATGTTTCATCCCCAACAAGAAGAACATAATATCACAGCTCGCAGTGCGAATGAGTTGAACGTCAAAATTTGACACCCCGAAGCCTCACAAAGGTCATACCACATAACCTTAACAAGGTGGTAACCCTGCAACAATTTATTTTTAGCTTATTGTGATGTCATTTCTATCCATTTGAACTTATGTAAGTCAAAAACATAATAATTTATAAAAGTAAATAAAAAAAGTGAAATTGTGTCATAAATTAAAAAGAAAATACAAAATCTGGAATATTTTCTCATAAAAGTAAACGCATAAAACATTTTGATCTAAAAGATTCCTAAAGGTAGAAAGATGAAAAAATATTTATTAACATACCACAAATTATTTGAAATATGTAAAAAAAAATTTTATATTTGCTCATTTTTATGAGCAGGATGCAAAGATGTTTAATAAGTGCTGTATGTTCACAGTTCATGTTATTACTTCTACTACAATATTTGATAATTAGGCCTACTGTGTTTAAATATACTACAACTACTATAACTCTATACTAAACTACGCTAAACTACTAGTATTTCTCTTAATCTCTCTCGGACATTCCTATCAACCTGCTTAGCCGCTCCTCTGGCGCTACTCGTGTGGCCATCGTGTGATTTTTCACCGCAACATAACGTAATAACGTCGCCACAAGTGTACAACATGAAGCCCTAACTTTCTGCTGCAAAAAGCTCGAATGCTCTAGTTTTTTTATTTTGGATCACTTTTTAACAGAATCATGCAAACAACTGTCTAACGCCAGTCCTTTAGTGCCACCAAGCGTTTTCACCCCGGAAACGTGAGGACGTCGTTGTGAGCGTACAACATGATGACGTGAACATCAAAGCTCTCCGCTGCTAAAAGAATGAATACTCTGTTATAGTTAAAAAAAATTTAACGATCTCCGTTTTCAAAAGGTGAAGTTCTAGAAAATAAAGAGTTTTATTTGAAAGTATTAAAATCACCCAAAAAACTATATATATTTCTACTTAGGTAAAAGGTTTGAGTTCGTCCTCTAACGTAGGTTATGATTACAGGGTCTTCTGCCCAATGAACAAGCTGCTGGAGAGTCATGTGACCTTTTGTTCCACCTCACTACTTCTTCCTCTCCTCCGTGTCTGCAGGTCTGCTGAGGAACGAGACCTTGGAGAGCACGGCGACACAACACAAACTCCTCGACCTGACGCCGGGGCGACTGTACAACGTTACCATGGTGACGGAGCTGGCGGCTGCAGAACGCCAGATGATGAGGCTCAGACAGGTAGCGTGAGAGAGAGAG